CCTAAAATTTTACCATGTGCATATGAAAAACATTTTACTTATTGATCATCTCTTTCAAGCCATAAATTTTGGGTAAAATTTAGTGACAGCTATAAATATGAAAATACTTTAAAAATCAGAATACGAAGAATGCATATTCCTTCACACAATACTTTTTTTTTTTTCTTAGAGAAAGACCATCTGTTTAGGCTAAATCTCTTATCTGGTTATATAGTCAAGCATTTTTCTGCTAAAAAAGGAAGTGAGAAAATCTATGCCATGAGAAATAAAAAAAAATCTTAAAATTTTAAATAAATCATTTATAAAATTCAGGATGGATGGTCTTAAAATGTAAAAAGAGTGAAATAAAAACAATTGCAGGGAATTTGTTTATTGAACATTAATATTAACACTTCTAAATTATGTATTCATTTATGAGTTTTGTCACTGTCTTGTCAATGGACATAATGAAAACTATTGCACAGAACTCAAGCATGGAAATAATAATTAACAAAATATCTAAGCAACAAGTATATGCTTTACATTTTAAAAATTAATTCAAACAAAAAATTTGAAGCACTTCTCTGATTAGGAAGTCTTAAAATGTTATGTCATGTTTTATTTGAGATTTTTTTTTTTTTTTTTTTTTTTTTTACAAATTGACATTGTACAAATAACTCAAATGGCCAGTAAAACTACTGCCTTAAAATTGTTGGCTTTATGTAACAGAGGTAATTTGAATTCACATCAGAGCTTTCTAAAATGGCAATAGTACAAGCATATGACTTTCTCTAGTATCCAAAACCTGTTCTGGATCTCCCTTGGCTAAAGAACAGAAAATCAGACACAGCCTTCTAAAGCTGCCACAATGTCCTAAAATGCTTTGACAAAAGTTGGCATACTTCATTTCCCTTGCTTACCTTGATAACACTGGGCTAAACATAAAATGAAGTAAATTCGATAAATAGTAACTTAAACAGTAGTTAGCTCTGGACTTAGAAGGTTTGCTAAAGTTGATTACCATTCAGAATAAGGTTCTCAGAAAAAAAGCAGTTTTCCAAAATTAGGCCAAAAAGCCTACATTAAAGGAAAAATGCCAAG